CCAAAATAAACACTTCTCATTAAAAAAAGAAAAAAAAAAAAACAAAGAGATAGCCAAGAAATAACATGACTTTACAACACTGCCACACGCGGCGACTTCGCACCTTGAAAAGCCGAAAAGAAAAGTGCCCAAAAACGCGTCAGACACAAACCGGGTTTAGAAGCACAGTTAATTGCTCAAGTATAATATAATCAGAGCATAAATTTACGAGTATTTTTCTTTTTTCTTTCGGCAGTAATAATGTAATATATATGTAGGTATATTAGTGTTCGTCACGAAAAGAGTGACTAGTTTTCCGTCGGAAATATAAAATTGATTATATTTTAAGATATGCATACATTTGTATGCAGATCTTTTAAGCTTAGACTGTTATAGTATTTGAGGATTTTTGTTTGAAAAATATTTTAATAAACCAATTTTATTTATCAAAAACACACGATATTTTCATAGCGGTCTAGCTCACGTCAATTTTAATTATTTTCCGAAAATTTGACGGAAGTTTTATAACCTTATTCATAAAAAATAAAATAGATATAAAGTGACATTTTCATACAAATTTTCGATTTATAAAACAGTTAAAGTCTTCTTTATTTTTTTTATGAATTTGGGTGTTAATATGACTCCGAAGAAAAACTGTACCATTTTTTTTTTGTTGGAGAGTGAGGCATCCTAATGTGTACATTATAGCGAGTCGCGCTATGTAGTGTCTCAGCAAGCAATAGCAAGGGAGGAAAAAGCGACGGTCATATAAAGAAATGTAGAAATATAAATTTCAAATTATGTTTGAGCGGCAAATTAACGCACGGTGATGCCAGATTGTGGGTAATTCGTTTCCCTATTTGAGGCATAATTATTAAAACGGAAGAAGGGGCATTTCAAATAATAAAGAGATTTTCATTTACCACATTAATCAATATTCAAGAATAGTCGACACTCTTACGTCATTTGTAACAGTGATAGTTTTAGAAATTGCCAGTAACTATTCAACCGTAAAAACACAAAACAAGTTTCTTCAAAATCTTGAGTTTTAATAAACATTGAAGCTAATTTATGGATGTGGTAGATGTTTTTAAATTCGTTTAGAATATTATATGTACTTTTTTATTACAGAAATAAATGTTTTCAATTCTTTGTGAATTTTGTGAGATAAATTTTTAAGATGTGGGTAATTGAGCGATTTTTTCCCAATTTTCGTGGGTAATTTAACGGAGAATGTCTGGCATCACTGTTAACGCAACGTAAAATTGTTCACGCGCAGTACTGCATGGCTTTAAAGGTACCTTTTTTTTAAGCATACATACATATGTATATGAATTCATGTGTAACAACAAAAACTCACGCCCATAGTTAAAGTCTTGTTAGTTGTTTGTACTCATAAATCGCAAATCTTTTGCATTTGCTTTGAAAGTAGAAGTGGTAAGTCCAACAGCATAAGCTTCCCCCTCGTTAAATACGTGCGTTAGTATACATTTGTGTTTAGCCATCGTACTGTGGATCTTGAGTGAAGATAATGGGTCGTATGCATAAAAAATAAGCAATTGCTTTTACTTCAAATTTCTTCTTCTTCTTTATTGGCGCTGTAACCGCCTAAGCGATTTTGGCCGAGTCCAAAACAGCACGCCAGTCATTTCTCTTCTGTGCTAACTATACCTAGACCATTTTTTTAATAGGGCGAAATAACTGCTCTTGATTCAAGCTGGTTGTATATAAATAAATCAATTGAAAAAAAATATGCTTAGCTGGTTCAGTTCATTTCGAGATCAACCGGCTAAAACTAGTAACGAAGAAACTACAGACGCTTTTTACTGAATTTAAGATATTTTTCATTAGACTATCATTGAATTTCTTCGTTGGTTGGTTGGTTGAGGAGGTGAGTTTAAAAACTGCAATTAGCCGTTTCAACGCTACTGCTCGAAATTTCAAAGAGACAAGTAATTTTTAGCAAAAAAAAACCGACTTCAACTCTCATATAAAAAAAAATTATATATATATATATATCTCATTAGTATGGGACCACCTCTGAGACACTACCTTTCCGATGCAAAAAGAACTATCGAAATCGGTTGACGTGGTCCAAAGTTATGCGGTAATATACATACAAAAAAAAAAAATTAAAAATTATTCCGACGAACTGATAACCTCCTCCTTTTTTGGAAGTCGGTTAAAAAGAACAAGAAATTGCAGAAATTATTTGCTTCTTTTAAATTCAGTCGGTAATATCACTTATGTCTGTAAGACAGCAGTAGAAGGGTTTGCCTAGAAACCTGATTCTAGTCCTATAATGTGCTGCACTCAGAAAAAAGTCAGCTGAATATATTTCTCTCAGCACAAATAACCAAATAGTGTAACTATAACCTAATCAAGTCAGTGCAAGAGTACCGATCACAGACGAATTATGTTCAATAAGTGATAGTTTCACAAAATTCAGCTCCAGCTTATTGGCCAAATGGTAACCCAGACTTCAATCGATTGGACTATAATTATGTTCCATTCTAGAAACTATTCCTTGCACTACTCGATATTACAGCGTTGGTTCATTTGTCCGCGAAGTGAAAAATTTTCGTATGAATGGGGTGCTTACTTCAATTGATGAGCGCTAAAATTGGCTTCTTTGCTCCTGGAAGGCAAATGAAGGCCATTTCGAATATGGTGTTCGACAATCTTTAGCGCTATTCACTAATTTTCATGCCGTTAGCCAATTACTATGTTCCAAAATATTTGCTATCACCAAGTAGAGAGAAAAACTAGATACAATTAGATCATTTCCCCGGACTGAAAGGCATAATGTTTGTATGTCCCCTAACGGTGTGCTCTAATCATTTGCTGAAGTTTAATTTAAGGCAGCTTTCTGGGCTAATGAGTCTCTGATTTACCTTGCACGACATCCATCTGCAAGTAAGAGACCAAAAGTCTCGCTACTCGTGACTAAAAGCACGGGTTCTACACCCATTGTCACTGTTTGGGGGTAGTGGAAAAGCATCAGAGGATTCGGCGGTTGGACAACGAAAGCAAGGGCGCTCACAAACACAATGGTAGGGCCAAGTGCATAAAGACGTGTCTGCGCTAGAAGCGAACGGCTGTAGCGTCTTTGCGAAGGATGGGAACTGTGCTTCCTGCTTGGAGCAAAACTTGTCAGATCCATCTGAGAGAAGGTCACATAAATTCTAAAGAACCTTCGCTTAGATCTCAAAAATGTCGACCCCTCAGGTGGGCAATAACTATTGTCGAATGACTATCCCAAAAAAATGTGGTTGCTTCAGTTGCAAGTCTTGATTATAATGTGCATGGAAGACTTATGAAGAAAATATCACAAGTTTAAGCTTTGTTTCACTGTGCAACAGCATAGCTAAGTACGAGTACTTAAGCTAAGACCGGTCGTGCGTGCGGCCTAAATGCTGCAAATTGCCAGACTCGTAAGTAAATTTATGTTGACGGTGTTATATGCACATACCTACTTTATAATGAGTATGTACGTACATATTTGTATATGCTTGTATCTATATTTGGTTGTATATTTTCAAATATAAGAGGCCTCCAACATATGTAAGTACATACCTAAATAAATGACAGCGTAAAAAAATCGCATATTAGCAAACTAGTGCGAATGTAAGTAAGTCAAACACAGTTACGTACGTAAAATGTATTTAAAAATTTTTTTATTTTCTTTTATGTGACTATACGAATATTTGTTATTTTATTACCTTGTCGGTATTATGGTTGTATTTTTTTGCATATTCGAGTTTTCTTATTTTTAGGATATTTAAAAATGCTTGCGTTCGGAATCTACGTTTTTACGATAGTAGCGTTTTTTGATGTTTCTTTTTTCTTTTACCCAGCAAATATGAATTGGAAGAAAACTGCTTGAAATATCATGAGCAACTGCCTATGTGCGAATTGAATTTATTACTTGACATAAATATTTCTTAATGAGATTTCGTGCCTTGTGCCTACAAGTAAAACGGTTGTGATTCGCCGTGAGCAAGCAAACTTGCTTTTTTTGTAAATTAGCATTTGGCACATACATACATATACCTACTCTTGGATATGTTGATAGCATCTGTTTAAAGGTGTACGCTCCGGCGTGGCCAACACAACCTGGATAGATATGAGTATTTGTGAATATATTACTTCTGCTTGAATGGATATATCGACACAACTCAAAATTTCATATTTTTCAGTAGAGCCAATTAAAGATTTTGTGTTTCGTTAATTAGCAATAATATGTCTTGGAACGTAATTATTCCGGATTATGTAGGGAAAATTTGTAAGCTTTGAAATGATGACTTTTTTTTGAATGTTTAATAAGATTAGGACTAAAAAAAACCGAAATAAGTAACAACTCCTAAGAAGTTTTCCAAACAGCAACGTCCAACATCTGTTATCGCAAACGGGAGTCCTCATATCTGAGGTTTCTTTCCAAAAAAGCGATACTGGTGACCAATGGTAAATAACTTCTCTCTCTCGGATCGGGTAGAGCAGCGAGGGGCAGGCAGAGATTTTACTCAAAATGATTTTTACAAAATGTATAGAAAGCGTAAAAGAGCCTTGCCAGCGAGCAATGCGATGCGCATCATCGGTGTTGAGTGATACCCTAGGTTTGAGATCAATCACACCTCTAAAATTTAACCAAGCTAAAGTCATAAAAAAATTTATAATTTAATAAAAAAACTTTTGGGTCACCCTTTTCGTTCCAATTATTCATTTAGTAGCATGCATCTACAATTGGGAAAATGGCCAAATCAATTGTAATCATAATTTAGCAGTTCCAGAGTCAAGCTACATTCATAAGTATATTTTATAAATTCTATTTCAGTTAGAACTAATGGATATTTACGGCTTCCGCTAAAAACAATTGCATTAAATTCATCTAGCTTCAATTTTTCTACGCGATTATTTTTAATTTTCGAAAATTGCTCGCCCAACATGCAATGCAATCGAGATACCACAGCTGCAGGCTGAATATAAAAACTACAGCCGCAATGACTGCACCAAACAGTTCTACCAAAATAAGTAAAGCCGTCAGCCGGTAAACGTACATTTCGAAATAAAACAAAAATGCGCTTCCTTGTCGCATTCGTGCTCATCTACATTGCATACTATGTTGCTGGCATCGGTGCTGCACCACATCCACCGGCCACAACCAGTGCGCCGTTGGTCGCTAATCAGGCCACTTATGACACCAGATTCGATAACATCGACCTGGATGAGGTACTGAGTCAAGAGCGTCTACTGCGTAACTACATCAAATGCTTGGAGAATACTGGTCCTTGCACGTCGGATTCAAAAATGTTGAAGGGTATGTACTTACACACATGCATGCATAAGTAGATATACATGTACTTAGGAGAATTAAGTATTTGGTTTAATAAATTTACATATATCTTGAGGTTTCTCCTATTTCAGAGATACTCCCCGACGCTATATCAACCGATTGCGTCAAATGCTCGCCGAAGCAGAAGTCTGGCTCAGCGAAGGTGACGCATTTCTTGATCGACAATCGGCCGGAGGATTGGGCGCGCTTGGAGCAGATTTACGATCCGCAAGGCAGCTACCGCTTAGCTTACTTAGCGGAGAAGGCTAAGAATGGTGATGATAAGCAGAATACTACGGAAGCGGAAACTAAGGCTTAAGTAAAAATTTTCATTTTATGACAACTTGGCGCGGACTTGGACACTAATGGACTTTCCACAACAACGTTGTAATAGAAAATGTATAATATTTAATTAAATGTCAAAAGTATTTCAATAAAAATTGAGCAAGTGAGTATTTCGGCTGTCGCTGAGAGAACTTTCATCACCGCATCGATATTGGACGAATGTGAGTAGGAAAAAATTCTAAAAGGAGTGGGAAGAGGTTCGGCTTCAAGAACCCGGTGACCAAACAGGCAATACCTAAGATATTCGATTCGATATTTTACCGATCGGTTTCAGCAATCTAACCCCTTATTAACTAGAGCGATGAGCTTCATAAAGGCTGGAGAGCATCTCTGCGTACATACTCAAAAAAAACTCTTTAACTCTGAATTCAATCAAGACGCTTTGCATTTCCTATCCCGTGTGCTTATAGAAAGAGATTTTCCATTAAAAATTTTATAGGTTTTATATCTTACAAATTGCAGCGAACATATGTAGCTACAGGGCACATATTTTTCGCAAAAATTTTGTGTATTTCTTACTTAATGGCATTTCTTCTAATACGTATCTTCAGTTATGTGCTGGCCTGTTCAGAGCTCCATTGTAAATTTGCTTGCGCATACAGACAAAGATTTGTTCATTACAAATATCAAGAAATTTATGATTTTATTTACATAATTATTTAGCATTGTTGTTGATGCTCTTGATAAGAGCCCTTTGATTTTTTATTGCGGTCACCAACGATTTTTGTATTTTGTTGATAGACCACTCTTCGACTTTGTAGTTTCTATAGCTTTACATGTGCATTTATTAAAATTCGAATGGAAGTTTACAAAACTCGTATTTGATTGTACATATATTGAGTTTGGTAAGCAGTTTGGAGGTCATTAAATTAACACCATTACAAAATTGTGCATAAAGCTTTGACTTCGATTGTTTTCGGCAGCTTAAAGCTATGATCTGTTTTATTTATTTTCTTTTACTTTTTGTTTATCTTAGGAATTCCTAAGTGGAAAGTTTGATTGCACTTTAATGAATTGAATTAATTTGGTAAACTATTTATTGGCACACTAACTTACTAATTGAGAAACTAATTTTACTTTAAAAATCATGTCAAATCTACGATATATGCATGTATATACCTACATTAGACCGCGCCACTTTAAACCCAAATAAAAAATTAGTTCCCCGTATACCCCTGAGTCTGAATTATTTTGGAAAGGCATAATCGAAATGCTTCCTTAATAAAAATTGAATTATCTTTCGCAACCTTTAATGTACTGACGTTAGGGTGGTACGTTAGGGTGATGAGAACTGAGATCTGGTGGGTAAGTACTAAATGGGGTTAAAGTTGTCGCCTTGACACAAGAACGTCGATATATCATAGTTTAAGACCTGATTGTAAATGTCGCGGATATAACGAAAGAAGGCGACCGCTACGTTTGCGAAAAAAAATCTTCCAAAATTCCTTGGATTCGAATGGGAATGGTGAACTTTTTTTGGTAATATCATAAGACTAAGTGGCAAAACAAAAGTGCAACTTAAAATCAGGTAATAAATAAAAAAAGTATCAATAAAACTCCATTTTAGTTGGTTTTAGTAATCGGCAGTTATGTACTAAAATTTGTATACCAAAAAATTGCGCTTAAAGGTAGCTTTAAAACAAAACTACGGTTCACGTTATTGCCAGGCAGCTTTCTAATTTGTACTTAATTATAAAGTATTTTACGCAGCCCAGTGACAGTCAGGGCTTTGCTCATGAGCCGTGAGTTTCTTGAGGTTCTACGCCGATGGTTTCACACTGGCGCAAATTTTTATAAAAAAAAAATAAACATTTTTATTTCCCCTTGATATACATATGTATGTACATAGGTCAATTCATTTTAAGCCAAAGTTCAAGTTAAATTTGGTGATAAAATGTCAATCAAAATTAAGTTAAGTAATATTTTTTTGTTTAAAATTTAATAGTTTTTACTCACGGCAAGAATATTTGAACTAGCAGTAAATACCAAAAAATGTTGTAATCCAAACGCAACACTTACCTGAAAAGATATTAAGTTTATAACAGAATTAATTAAGTTTTAGGGTAGTCAATTAGAGTAGAAAATTAATGATAAAGTTAAACCAAGTCTTTACTAAAAATATTCTTTAAATATCTTAACAATATTTATATACACATTAGGCTAGTCCAAAAATACACAGGAAAATCAAATTTTTGGGATTTTCCCACTGAAACTGAAGAATATCAAAAATAAGGAGACCCTTAGGTGAATTCTTCCACATATTTTATACGGGAAAATAAATTTTTTCATAGAATTACCATAAAACCGTCCGTATACCAGAAACATGAATGTGTAAAACTTAAAATTTTGGGAAATCAAGTTTGAAAGTTTTTTTTAAGAGACTTAACTCTACATTTATGCTATTGAAATTGTAAAATATGTGGTTTCCGTGTATGCGTAGTATTCTGGGTTTTGGTGTAGCATACAGCATCCAAAGGTTAACCAAGTCAACCCAATAACTCAAGACTGATAAATTTGCACATTCATGCTTCTGGCCCAAGGGTGAAGATATTTGTTGATCAAATACGAATATTTCCCCTCAGATACCTTCAAAAATTAAGTTATTATGAATATTTAACATTAGAAGTTAAAGCTACACCTAAACGCTAAAACATTGTGATTTATTTATTTCGAAGCTGCACAGAGTTTAGCTATGCGTTACGAATTACAAGAGGTTGTCCACAACGAGCTACGATTAATGAGAGGTTGACCATAATTGCAAGCATAATAATAGACAATGACAGGCAAAAACAACGTTTGGAATAGAATCGTCATAAGAGTATATCGATGGTTGAGTAGGAAGATCGATCCATCCCGTCAGCCAGTTCGAAAATGCCCTATCTCAAAAAACTTTTCCAGAAGGCCCACTTCAGAATTTGGTTGGGAAGGCCCTATCTCAGAATTCGGTTCAAAAACGCTCTATTTCAGCTAAAAAAACAATCAAATTCTGAAATAGGGCGTTGTTGAAATTTTTTCTGAGATAAGACGTTTTCGATCTGGCTGCCGAGAGATAGGTCGATCTTCCACTCAGCCATCGATATGTGAATCCACTCGCATTCGTTTAATTACGTTTTTACAATATTGTTGGAAGAATAAAATTAATATATTTCCACAGGAAGTTATTAAAGTTTAATGTAATGCTTTTATAAATGCTAGAGTTATCGGTCATTTCCCATATCAACATTTGCATATATAGTACCCATAATCGCATTAATGACTGTATTATTTTTTAGTGATTTGGGTTTAATTTAATAATCATTTAAATATATAAAATTTATCGCGAACCATAATTGCCCCTGTTTATTTCATATTCTCTGATTAGCTAATATACAGTAATTACAAGAATTTCCAGAATTCATTTAAAAATAAGTAATTCGCAGACACAATGATCAAACTCCACAGTGTTGGACTAAATGCTTTGCGCATACTTTTTATAGTTATTTAACCTTTATATCGAACTTTTTTTTCGGTGCATAGTAGCAGTACACTGTAATTTTACAGACAACCGCTGTTATGCGATACAAGGTTCAAATAGCACGCATAATGGACTAAATAGGAAGCTTGATAAATTTTAGTTTTTTTTAGAATCTCATTTCAACCTACAATTGAAAAATTTTGAAAGTTCTTCGTAATTGATTCAAAAATTGTGGCAAATTCGTAATGTAATAACTTAAGGTTGATACATATGAAAAGTAAATGCAGTGTCAACATTCTGATTCTGGTCAACGTCACCTTCTGCTATAATCTTCATTTAAAGGTTAATTTAAGTTTTAAATAAATATGATGACATTTAACTTTTCCAAACATTTTTTAATTAGTCTGAAAGTAAAAAATTTTTGTTTCTAATTTTGTTCGTATATTCAATTCAATTATTGGCAAAACCAGAAAGAATCAATAATTAAAGTTGAAACCTAAAATAAAATTAATAATTGATGAATTCGGCTATCACGCTATAAAAGTAGAGAATTCAAATTAAAAAACTTAAGACGAAAAGGCTGCAATAGTTATGATAAAATTGTTTAGTTAGAATTTCAATCAAAATATCTTGGGTGATTCCTTTAGAATGTAATAACTAAGTGACTAGAAAATTATTAAAGATGTACGAATTCTGACAGTTCTCTCCAGCTTTTAAGACTTTCACTATTTTCATAGCTATTTCCTGTTTAAGGGTTTACCACCAGTGTAACAACACTTCCAAACCAAGAAAAAGCAAAAATTATAATTGAGAAGCTTACTCACACAGCTGAGAAGCTTACAATCACAATAAAAATGTATACTTAACAGCCAACTATTTTACTTAAAAATGTATGGTTATTAAAAGGACTTCATAACTTCAATATCTCTCAAATATATAATGTAAAAGTAAAACCGATAAATAATAAATTTGCAATTCAATTTTCGAATTCTACCAACCGGTAAGAAATTGGCAATGCCTATTCACGAAGGCATCAAATAAGCAGATAAGCCTTATAGAAAAATTTTACGTAACATATGCAATATTACAAAGTTAATGCCCACATACAGAAGGATTAAGTATTTGTATAAGCATAAGCACTTTATGTCATACATGGAATTACGTTCCCTTATTCACGTTAACTCGTGGCAGATTAATATTGCCCGCAGTTTCAAATTACATATCTATGTATATTCTGCTGAACTTCTTATATGTATGTGTGTATATTCACAACAACTTACATATACATATATAAGTACATATGTACATATAAGAGCATTTAAATTAAATTTTTTATTTCTGTTTCTCAAACTAGCGCCTACCTTCCTTTATTTGCACAGAAACCCTTTAAGTGCCCTTTCAATTCTCATTAAATATTCACTGCATAAGTATTTTTGTCAGCTAGCGACAGAAAGTGCTAAGTATAACTGTCTTAATACATGTCTGAGACATTCTAAAGTTGTACTCATTTACATACAAACTCTTGTATGTATATAAAGAGTGCTCACATTTTTCTATAGACACAACCAACCGCTGTCTTCAATGATTGGCACTGAGAAGTCTAACAACCTGTCACCTTTTACCTTTACATTGTTGATATGCCTGAGTGAATCGTAAATATTGCGAAGGGGGTTGCGAACTATTTTAAGGGT